GCTTGCATTTAGCATTAAATTCAAAGAGATACATATCACATTCAAATCACTCTCAAGATCTTACATGGAAGATGCCAGTAGAATATTTTCAGATGCCCCTACATGGCATAAATTAGTGCAAGATCAATTAAAAAAGAAAAGAATCACAGCAACAGAATTATAGTTGTTGAAATCAGAGTCTTTATAATATAATGTCTGATCTCTTAACAGTTTAGACTAAGAGGCAGTGAATGCTTCCCAATTAGTGTATCACCTCTGATATAGCATAGGCCAGCTAGACCAATTAGGAGTAGATCAAAGAAGATTGCAGACTCAATGGCGATGGTTCAGACGAATGCATTAATCTTTCTTTCACTCTTTCAAACATTTTTAATGAAGTCCTTTCATTCTAGAATGAGACAGGTATGATTCTACACATTGAGGATGCAGTGATTAAGTTGAAGACAAAAGGCCTTGATCGAACAAAATCTACATTATACCATAGGAATGAGAGGAGAAACAAAGAATACAAACAAGTTACATGATAAGGAGTGCTATGCAGAACAATAAAACAGAATAAAGAGATAAAATTATGGAGGGAGACAGTAATATTTATAAAAAGTTACTAATGAGGATTTGTCAGAATGGCTAATGTTTGCTGGAGAGATGAACAAAATAAAAGAGCAACTCAGAAATATCTAACATAAAAGAATTTTGGAGCAGAAAGAACCAAGTGCAAAGGATTTGCAGATGAAGTGCACTTTGAATGTAGAAGGGGCAATAGAAGCCAATTATTAAAATATGAATGGGGAGTCATTAAATGATGCAGCTTGAGAAACAGCTAAGAACTAGATCATCTAAGGCGATAAAGAACAAAATAATTGTCAAGACAGGAAAACATTGAATAACTTTTTATAGTAACACGAAATTTCTTTTTATAATAACACTAACTGGATTCATTTTAAGAAACTTTATACCATTTTAATAAATATAACTTATAAAGAGGTACATGGTCAAACAGATTTAGCAAATACTGGATTACAAACATTAAGCTGATTTTGCTGTACAACATAGAATATTTCACAATCTGACATTTTAAATTTTAAGGCAGAGGTTATGTTCAGGATTTTTCAAATTAATTGTCCTTGATAATTTTTTTCATAAATTATCTCCTAAGGCTAGAATTCTTGGTCAAATACTATAAAAAAGATCTGTGTGGAGAGAGATGAATACCTGACACCAAATGATACATATGTTAGTCTGTATCTTATCACTTGTAAAAGAAAGATCCAGAGACAAGAACATTTAAGAAATAAATTCAGTTACTTGAAGAAAAGTTTCAAACGGATCCTTTAAAAGGATGGGTTTGTCAACTAAAAATTTTCAGTCAATATTTAGATTTTCAAATATTTCTTCTGCCCTGTTCTCCCTTCTCTTGTGTTTTTAATTTCACATATTTTAGACTAGTTCTTTCCCACAGCTCTGAAACATTATTTCAGTTTGGGTAACTTCTACAGACTTTTCAGATTCATTATGGGTTTCGTCTAGCTGTGTGAAGTCTACTAATAATCCCCTCTAAGGCAATCTCCGCCTCCTTTACTGTTTTGTTCATTTCTATTGTTACCATTTGATTTTTTTCGTAGTGTTCATCTTTCTGCTAAAATTGCCATCTGGTCTTGAATGCTGTCTACTTTTCCCACTAGAATCCTTAACATATTTAATCATGGTTATTAAATTCCCTGCCAGATATTCCAAGACTTGTGGCACATCTGAGTCTGGTTTGGATGATTCCTTAGTTCCTTGGGAAAGTGTTGCTTACCTTTTGTATGCTTCCTAATTGCTGTTGCTGTTGTTACTGTTGAAAGATAGAGATATCCCTTAGGATTCTAGAGACTACAGTAAATTTTTTCACTTCATGGACATGATTTTCTTCCATTAGATCTTTAGTGTGGAGCGTTGATCTAATCAAGAGTTGAGCTGGGTTAGAGGTTTTTTGTGGCCACCCTTAGGGCATCACCAAGTTAAACTCCCTGTAGAAATGTGCTGTTCAGGGGGGAGCTGGTTTTCCAAAGAAATTTATTTCAATATTCTTTTTTCTCACTTCTCCTTCTTTGTCAATATTATCCCAAACACAAAATGTCATATAAGATGTGGAAATACAAAATGCCACTAATATTGCCTCAGGATCCAGCATTTGAAATGTATTATTTAAGCCATTGGAATGGGGGCATCATTGGAGAGTGAGTGAAGGTAGTCTTCATAGGGGTGTAAAAATGCATTCCCAAAGTAATACAGATATTTAAATATCCTACAATGTAATAAAATATTAATATTAAAGGAATATTTTTCTCCCCCAACACTACATTCAAATGGGGAATTTTCTTGAGATTCTTGTGATCTTTCTCTGAGTGTCCAATAGGATTTATATAGAAAAATTCTGCAAGAGGATGTGGACTCCCTTTAGGTTTGGAGCCCCCAGATGATTCACCCTATTTCAGTAGGTATACTCAGTCTCCACCAATTCACCATTTTCCTTGGCTAATCATTTCTTATTGACTCTACCTGGCTCTAAGGCAGTACTGGCATTCATCTCTTACTTAGATTTTGGACCATGTGGTTGCTCTGCCACCAATATGATGAGTTCCAAAAAAGCTGTTAACTGTTGTTTATCTGGGGTTTTGTTATTGATGATGTAATGTTGAAAGCTATACCCAATTCTGGTCTCTAAAGGCTAACGTGGAAGCAAGTCACAAAGGAAAAAAAGAAACCAAGGTTTTGGAGGTGGGTTTATTCATGGTAGAGAAACAAATTTTCTTACATGTTATCATATGTATGTGTCATAATAGATACTGCAAAAATCAGGGATCAAACCATTTCCTTTATGGAGTCAATAATTTACAGGAATGATGGATCAAAAGCTTGATTTTGAGGGCTGGAGCAATACAGACTAATTTTTGTTGTTTGTTTAGCTTAGGGTATACTAGAGGTTTCCCCATGCCAGCTGTTGGAAAGGGGTGTACACTTATAATTAAGGTAAGGGGAGATGTTATATTTGCTTTTACATACTTCTTACATCCACTTAAACCTGTGCTTATAATTAAGATGATTTTTATTAAATTGCCCTTAATTTATTACAAGGTTTGGGTTCAGTTCTTCACAACCAACATCTTAGTCGGCTTTCCCAAGTTCATAAAAGAAAGGTCTCCCCAAAATATTCAGAGAAGCCTCTCCAAGATGTCCAGAATAAATTTTTTCTTATATGTCACTATCGCTTATAAACCGAGGTCAATCAGGCCCTATAGGTTTCAAGAGAAACTGCTACTTTAAGAACGAAAATTACCTAAATTTAGGACAATCTCCAGAATAAACTTTTTATCTGAGAAACCCCTCTGTGTGGCAAACATCTAGTTACAGAGGATCTGATTTTGTCTGTCAGTCACCCTCTCATCATCATGTGAGTCCCCAAGCCCCTATTCTATTCACTATCTCAAAAATAAAAACCAACAGTCTGTCCTGTTTACTCTAGAATTCATAGTCATAGAGATGGTCCACATCTATATAATTAAATTTGTTCTTTTTCTCATAATAATCAGTCTGATATTAACCCAGAGGGTTTCCTCTCAGCCCTACATTCCAAAAAAAAACATTTCATTCAATCATTAAGAGAAGACACCTGGTTGTTCACAATCATCTTTCTGCTTAAAATTGAGAGGAAAGATAAGCACCAGCCCATTTACAAAATCTTTGTCTGGGGTACCAGGCACTCTTTACTGATGCTCTTTCCAATCAGCAGAATTTTTTAAAAAATTTAAATTTTATTTTTATATTCCCCGTACAATTGCAACCCCCTTATTTTGACCCCAATCCCTCCTTTCCCCGCCCCCCACCCCCCATAGAGTGTCTCTGGTTCATAGTTGTTTGTTGATTTTGATTTTTACTTTCTTATAGTTATTCTTTTTCCTGGTCTCTTATTTAAGTTTTCTAGATTCATGCTATCAGTGAGACCATCCGGTATTTTTCTTTTTCTTTCTGGCTTATTTCGCTGAGCATGATCCCTTCCAGCGCCATCCATGTTGCTGCAAATTGCATGTGTTTATCTTTTTTGAATGCTGAGTAATATTCCATGGTGTATATGTACCACATCCTCTTGATCCAGTCATCTATTTTTGGGCATTTGGGTTGTTTCCATAGCTTAGCTATTGTAAATAGTGCTGCTATAAACATAGGGGTGCAGGTGCTCTTTGGAATTGATGTTTCTGTGTCCCTTGGGTAAATACCTAGGAGTGGAATTGCTGGATCATATGGAAGCTCTATGTTTAGTAGGTCCAGAAATCTCCACACAGCTCTCCATAGTCAATCAGCAGACTTTTTAGTGGACAGTCCACATACATCAAACTGTTAGCATCATGACTGTGTTTCACTCCACCAGGTCTGTGGGACAGGAGCTACTGTTCTGTCACACAGGAGTGTCAGGGCACTCCAGTGTCCCCTGTCTCGTTTCTCTGAAAATGACCACTAAATATATTGTGAGTGATTTCCTTTCTTTCTAGTTTCTTCCCCTCCTTCATGGTGCATTTCCTGCCCTTCCTCCTCTTTGGTACCTGGCCCAAGACCTACTCACCATCTTTCCTGACTTGCCACGGCATTTATTTCCTCTAATATGTTCTGTGACACTTGATTATATCCTGTCTTATATCTTTCTCCAAATATTTCATGGGTCATGCCATTGCAAAATTACTAGAGTCCCTAAGGGAGGAAGCATGTCAATCTTATTTTGCATTCTCCTGCTTCTTTGCACGTTGTCAGACATATAATAAATATGTGACAAATGCCAATTTGAAAGAAGTTTACATTTCTCTACTGAAGAGAGAGAAAGAGAAGGGGAGAGAGGGCTCTCGATTACATTAACTATTATGGGGCTGGGGGAAGACTGCTGATCATCAGACTCCAAAATTGTAGTAACTAGGTTCAAACACCTATAATATCTCCACCTCTGATTTCTGCAATCCACATTTACTTACCTGGTCTTTTGTTTCCCAGAAGTCAAGGCTGTCACTGCATATTCCAGAGACTCGGCTTTATGTGTCTCTTCCTCGTTTCTTTTTGTCACGGTGGATGTTCCACTTCCTCACAGAAGCACAGCTTCAGACTTTCTTCTGTTTCAAATCTTTCATCAGTTACAATGATGTGGTGTCTCCTTTCACAAGGCACAGGGAATTGAGAAGGAATGATTTCCCTAAGCAGAATTCCATTGCCAGGGAATTAGCAGGCTTCCAGAACAGACTTTGTTGGTGACTGTGTTCTACTCTTTGATGTTAACGGTAAACCAGAAGTGACATGATGGAATGGCTCAAAATGACAAATGTGACATCTGCAGCAGACACCATGCAGCTGTCAGTGTCATCTCTGGCCACTGCTGCTGAGGCCATGCCAGCACCCTCTATGCCCATCGCTGAAACAACACACTGGCTTTATCGGGTTTACTGTTTCATGTTTCAATCAGTGAATTAGTAGATGTTGTGTCCTATGATAACAGAGGCTGATGACAGTTTTTGCCACCCTTCGGCCAGTGAACACATGTTGGTGTAATGGGGGATTTGAGTATTATAAATTGCTATATGACCTCAGGCTTCTGCAGGTTTGTGATTGTTGCTAGCATGATATTCACCACAAAGTGGTTCCAAATTGCTTACTGAGTACCCAGAATACACAGTCTTTGTCCCCATGCCTTCCTGGACTACTGTTGAAATACCAGCCTCCTTCCCAGCCTAAAATATTGAATCACTTGAGTAGAAAGCATTATTCAACACTCATTTTTTTCCTTTTTTTTTTTTTTTTTTGTCAGTGACCTTTAGCTGCTTGTAAGAAGAAACTGAAGCTAGATCTACTGTATATATCTGGCTTCAATTTACTAGCCAGAGCATTATCAATTATGTTTTGACCAACAATAACATCAGCTCTTTTCAGAATTTCTTTGGGGAAAAACAAAATAAAACAAAACAACCTACTTTTAGCTGCCAGATTCCTGGTCTGGTGCTTTTTATTGAAAGATGTGAAATTTGGCTAACTGAAACTAGATTACATTCATATGCATTGAAAACAGTGAAATGAATATTCCTGGTAAGAACTTGGGATATGATTAATTTAAAATTGAACCACAATGACAATACAACCACTTAAATTGAATTTTTAAAAGCATTCTTTTTTAATGTTATTTCACATAAAACTCCAAGCAAACAACCATATTTAAAAATAAGGTATACATTTAAATATAACTTTTCCCCTGAAGAAAATGTCAGCCAGCCAATTCCTTGAAATCTATAACATATGGTGTTTCTGAGTAGCTATATTAGTCAGCCTGTAAAAGTAATTTATGATTTTCATTAAAGAAATTTGAAATTTACTTATTTGACACTAATACCCATATCCAGGAAATTTCAAACCCAGGAAATAAGTGATCATTATTTTAGAAACCCTGGGCTATTGACAACCTTACTCTACTGCAGTCTTGGCTGTTGTTTCCATCTTTATGGATGCCTGGGGTGCCAAGCAGAGCTTGACCTTAATTTCAAGCAATTCACTACTGGGGGAGACTTATAGCTTCTATAGTTACCTCCTCCTGAAGATTTCTCTCTCTCTCTCTCTCTCTCTCTCTCTCTCTCTCTCTCTCCTCACTTGCTCCCTTTTCACTCCTTCTTTTGTAAGTATATATGTTTATTTATACAAGTTTATTTGCACCATTGAGTTCAATTTATATACACCATTGGGCAGCTTGTACTGTTCACTCAATATATTAAGACTATCTTCCTATTTCTGCAAAGACTGAGTTAGTTCATTGAATTTATCTGCAGGAGAGTATTTCATTGAATGGGTGTACATTTTTATTTTCTAAAATAAACATGTTTGTATTATAAAGTAATACAAGCACATGTTAAAAAGTCTATTGGGCCATGCAAAAGAGAGTAAAGTGGAAATCAATCACTTTTTCACTGCCAGTTGTACTCTTCAGAGAAAAATGTTAACAGTTTTTAGCTTTTATGATAGTTACCACTGTATTGGAAACTGATATCTGCTCATCTGTTTCCTAGTTTGTCAAATGTATGTACTATATCTTTACCTTCAATCTTCTGACTATATTGAGAAATTTAACACATTTACATTACCTTCTAATCCCCACCCTTGGCTCCCCCTCCTGTATTTGTATTTGTTGCTTTCATCATTGTCATTCTCATCCTCATCATTGTCATCACCGTTATTATTAATAGTAATATTTGTAAATCTAGTGTTTGTTTTTATTATTTTAAATGACCCACTTAACATTTATTGCTTGACATCAAAATTATTACTTTTTATAGTTTTTCCCAGTTTCATTGATGTAATTGATGTACATATCCAGTTAGTTTTTATGTTATGATAATACTAGATTTTCCTAGACACAAAGCCCAAATCTCAGTGAACAACAAAAGCTCATTCCTCACTCACATCATTGCCCAGTCTTTATATTTGACAGCAGTCCTGGAGAACTTTTTTTCTTTTTGAAGCTTTTGTGATTTTCTGTTTCCTATCAGAGTTCTGGAAGTTCATCATCATTTCCCCAAGAGTCATCTTTGTTTTTTGAGAGGCTTTTTTTCATATATCTCTCTTTAGCTTGAGAAAATTTTTGCATATAATTTTTTATATTATTAGTTCTTCTCTGTTTCTATTTCTCATTCCTAACTTTCTGCATTTCCACAATTCTTAACACTTCTATTTTTTGTGATCTTAATATTTTAGATTTGATCTTCTCACGTTCCCTTTTCAAAATTTAGTTTTAAACCAGAGTTTCTTTTATAATTTCAGGATCATAGTTCACATTTTTTGTAAATAACTTTACTCTGATCTGTTTACATCTCCACTGATGTATGAAATATTTTTTTCAATTTCTGAATTCTATACTCTGAAATAGTGCTCTGAATTTTTAACTTATCTGCTCTTTCGTAAGGAAAGCTTATGTTGCTTTCCTCCACTGCTGAGAAGACCTAGCTCTCTAACAGCCCAGGAGAGAATGACCAGGAGACACAGTCATATTGAGCATACCTACAGGAAGATTTCCTGAAGTATGTGTAATGAGACAGCGGTGCAGTTTAGGTTTCTCACAAAGGCAGCACTGAGACATAATAAGCATGAACAAGGTTAGGGAATTGCTCAGGATCACCTGTTGGGATGGATGGAGATGGACTAAGAAACAATAACACAAAGCCTCAGACAACCTCATAGAGAGTTCTGAACCTGGACATGCCCTTCACAGTTGCCCCATGTCAGCCAAACAAGTTGAGTGTATTCTTGCTTGCACCAGTTGTTGGAGTGGACAGGCTGCTGGAAGAAGGCACATGAATGGTGAGCTGCTTTTCTTCCACCTAAGGTGATTATGCTAAAGGGGAGGTAACTAAAGCCTTCCCTTGGTTTAACACTCCCAAATTTGAGGAATGTGTCCTTTAATCCAGAATAGATCATGTCAAAACATGATATCCATTACATTGCATCCATGGTAAACAATTTGGGGTTGGCCTCATAGCAAAGAGAGCTTTGGTTTGGAGTGGGACTTTTGCTTTTCCCTCTCTAGTTCTAGTGGGGACAATGTTCCACTTCTTTCTGGGTCCCCACAATCTTCACTAAGGGTAGCCCTGAACAGGTAGCCTACTTTCTTTAGAGAGGTCACAGTCTTCGCTTTGAGGTCGAATGCAAGGACTACTAGCCATTCTATTTTCATAGAAAAGGGAGACAACTGTCTCAAAAAAAAAAAAAAAACTTCATTAACTCCTCCTGTTATCACCTTGGTGTTCCTAAGTTGTTTCTTTCATTGATTTACTCCAGACCCATATTTTTCTTTGATATCTTGACCAATGGTTTCATTTTTCTTTAAACATCAGTCCCAGCCCATCTGCAACTCTCTGGAAATTTTCAAAAATGTAGTTTATTCTTATTACACTTTCTTATTTTTCTAGTGTTATAATTCTTCTAAAAACTCTATTTCCTTCCATTTCATTCTTGAATAGGAAGTCAAGTTTTTTTACTTTGATAGCAAGTGCCAAACCAGCTAATTGAACAGAACAATTGGGGAGATATCCCAGGGGATGTTAGGGCACCACAACAGCTTTACCACCTATGACCTATGTGACTTTAAGCCAATTATACACCCTCACTAAGACTCAGTTTCTCTCTTAAAGTGGGAATGATAGTATGGACTATGTAGATATAAGGATATAAAAATGTTTAGCTCAATGTTAGGCACATAACCTGCTTCTAAGAAATGATTATTCTCTCAATCCCTTTCTGTCCTTCATGACTACAAAAATACCTTGTATTCTGATGAAAAAGTAAAACTCTCATACTCCGATAAAATCCAAAATACATCAGAAAAGCAGAGTGGAAAAATTCTTAAAGATTCAGTGAGGCTTGGTATATTTTTAAAGTGGCTTAACAATGTGACAGCTCAAGCAATGGTGCATATAATATTATCACTGCTGAGTACTACCTTGAGATTTCACAAAATGTCATATGTAATGGTGATGGTATTTTACATTACAGCTTTCTTGCTTTATACCTTTGCTTTTAATAATGTTTTATCTCTTGTTCCTTATAAACCTGATTGATTAAAATAAACTAGGAAGAGGAGGTCAATCACTGAATACAATAAGACGTATTAAATTCAATTAGAGTTATTCAGATGAGATAGTTACAAGACATGAAAGAAAAATCACAAGGCCAGACCTTCCACCTGCCAGATATTTGACTTTCTTTAAGTCAGTTACTTTATGTTTAGCCTCACTGACCTCAGCTTTAAAACCATAATAATATTGTCTCCTGTATTCCTATGCTTAGTTTGCTGTAACAAATCTTGACCTCATCATAACTTGATTAGATCTGCAGAGATCCTATTTCCAAATTAGAGCATATTTACAGGTATTGGAGGTTAGGTTGAATAGAACAAAATTCAACTCACACCATCTCCTAAGCTTAGAGGTATTTATAGTGGCTATGTTATTTAAGATGTTTTGTGTCATGCACCAGGAACCCAAGTAAGCAAAAATGAAATGTTTTCGGAAAAATTCTGGGACATCCCTCAATTGCACTGAATATTATAGATGAAAGGAAGCTGAAGAAACAATGATATTAGGAAGTGGGAACTTTTATCCTTTCTCCTCATTCCTGTACCTCTGCTCTATTATTTTCTCTAATCTAACTTTCTCTATTCTCCATTTTGTGTAACATAAAATGGCTCCC